GTCCCCAGAGTAAGTTATAGGAACCAAAGTTAAAAATAGGATATGACTGTCACAACACTCTGTGAAAACAGGCCATGGTCTTATTTATGGGGTCTTAAATGAAATTTTTATCCAAACAAACAACTTTTGAAGTTGTACATTGTTTTTTACTTTAATCACCAAGCCAAGACTTCATAAGCTCTGCTTTGAGTTTTGTGCCCCTCCCCAACTTGGCAGAACTCTGCCACATCTGTCCTCAAGGGCTTGACAGGATTTGCACACATTTGATTTGTACACACAGATAGAGTTTGTTATTTGCACATCACAGAGACACACATAGACACACACACACACACACACACACACACACACACACACGCACACACTGGTTGGCCTGCCTTGCCTCTTTTAAACTGTAAGCAACTGGAAAGTTAAGAAGAAGACTGGACTGTGTTTTGTTCAGCACCATCACAATGTAATTTCTCTCAAAATAGTTGTTAGTGGTGCCCTGAAGATGTAAATAGGGCCCACAAGGGCCAGGGACCAGCTTCAGGGGTTATTGGCATTGGAGTTTTAAAACGGCCCACATAGAAGATTTGGATCCAGTTTTGAGAGGGATCAAATCAAGCCTTGGGATATTTGGTAGATTGTTATACAATGGAGAAAAACTTAAAAAGATGATCTTAAATAAAGTAATTAGGATGACATTTTCCTTGGCCATTATGAATGAACATATAGAAAAGCAACTCTTTCAGGTTCTTGCATGTCTCAAGAATTTGAAAGCTCTAACGAGAACCAGAATTCCAAGCAGGCATTCCTGTCTCCGGCACTAGCCCTGTCTCTTGATTCTGGTTTGATGAGTTGCAGTCTACCTTGCGGACTTAGCTTCACTCTCAACCAGATGATGAATCAACTCTTCTGGATTCCCTTCCTGCACCTCCCCACCCACATCCTGTATGGTTGGATACTTCCCTTTGGAGTTCCTTTTCCTTATAGGCATGTATTAGGTATTTATTTTCTATGCTTCTGGCTTCCCTACCAGACCACAAGTGCCTCATGACCAGAGAATGACTCACTCATTTCTAGATCCGCAGCATGTAGCCCACTGCTGGGCTCACAGCATGAGTTTAGTAAATGTTTGTGGAATCAGCCAAGGACTACTTTCTGGAGCAAGATGTTTGTCCATATGTTGTCAACAGTGTTTTTTAAAATGATGTAGAATAACAGGACTAACGCAACCTCTGGGTCAACTACAACTTCAGAAATGTGCTAAATCTTTTCTATGGACCCCTGGGGTCATTTTAATTCTTTTGTTTTCCCAGGATTTTGTTGAATTAAATGTTAATTAAAATGACCATCACAGTGCAACATAAGAAAATCAATCACTACAATATACCACATTAATAGAACAAAGGAAAAGAACCACATGATCATCTCGATTGATGTAGAAAATGCTTCTGACAAAATTCAACACCCTTTCATGATAAAAACACTCAAACTAGGCTAGAAGGGAAAATCTTCAGCATCTAAATGAATAATTTATTTTATAAGGATCAGCACAGTTCCTATGAGGTAGAGGTTAAAAATATCCCAAATGTCCAACTTTTCCAAATTGCTGTACCACTGCATCATCTCTAACGTCAACTACGCCCCCTCCCCTCAGTATTCTCCCTCCTGTCCTTGGGTTCCACATAATTCGTTGCAACATCTCACAGATCTCACAAACCACATCAAGGAAATGGCTCACGCGGTTGTGGAGGCTGGCAAGTCCCAAATCCGTGGGTCAGGCTTAGACTTCACCTGACCCATGTGGTTGCAGGCGCTGACGAACCCAAACTGGCAGGTCAGACCACAAGCTGCTGGCTCACAAGCCTTTGGAAGCTAGCGAATCAGGTAAGATAATAGGCCACGGGCCCATGGGGCTGCGGAAGATGGTGAATCTCAGAATCACCAGGTCAGATGGCAGGCTGCTGGCTCAAGCCCCAAGAACCGGAGGTCAGATGATCATGAAATGGACGCAGGATTCAAAGTGAGAGAGGATTCAAAGTGAGAGAGAGTACCTACGTATATACATTGGATGCAGGCCACACCCCAGGGAAGGGCATAACTTGAGTAAGGGCAGGACTTGAGTTACACTCTCCTGCAAGGCTGTGACTCAAGATACACCCCACACTACTCCTCCCTCATTAACCTATAGGGATTAGAATTTACAACACATAAAATGGAGGATAATTAGGATAATTACTTCAGATCACAAAATGGAGCACAACCACACTATACTGGGAATCCTGGCCTAGCCAAGCTGACACATAACCCCAACTGTCACAGATTCCATATACTTTATTTGCACAATCCCACTCATTGTGTGTGAGTCACAAAGATCATGGCTAAAAGGCCATATTAAGTAATTCAATTGCACCACGGCATGATAGAGAATATTTATGAAAAATCCACAGCTAACACCATATTCAATGGTGAAAGATTGAAAGCTTTCTTCCTAAAATCAGGAATAAGACAACGATGCCCATTTTCACCACCACTATTCAACATTGTACTGAAAGTTCTAGCCAGAACAATTAGATAAGAAAAATAAAAAATCACCCACATTCAAAAGGAAGAAGTAAAACTATCTCTATTTGCAGATGATACAATATAGAGAAAATACCCAATAATCCATAAGAAAGCTACTAGAGCTAATAAATTAATTCAGTAAACTGGCAATGGTACAAGATCAACACACAAAAAATCAGCTGTGTTTTGCTGAATCGTCTCGACAGCAGTGAGTCTGGTGTTTTTGGTTTATATAACTACAAAGGAGCCCTGGTGGCGCAGTGGTTAACTGCTTGGCTGCTAACCAAAAGATTGGTGGTTTGAACCCAGCAGTCACTCCGCGGGAGAAAGATGTGGCAATCCACTTCCATAAAGATTTATAGCCTTGGAAACCCAATGGGGCAGTTCTACCCTGTCCTATAGATACACTATGAGTTGGAATTGATTTGATGGCAACGGGTTTTTGGGTATACAGCTACAGTAATCAAAACAGTGTGTGGTACTGGTATAAGGATAGACATCTAGACCAATGAATAAAATTGAGAGTTCAGAAAAAAAAACCATACATCTATGACCAATTGATTTTCAACAAGGGTGCCAACTCCATTCATTGGGTAAAGAATAGTCTCTTCAATAAATGGTGCTGGGACAAACGGATCTCCACATGCAAAAGAATGAAGATGGACCAATACTCGCACCATATACAAAAATTAATTCAAAATGGATCAAACTAAAACCATAAAAACTCTTAGAAGAAAACATAGGGGCAAAACTTCAAGACCTTGTACTTGACAGTGGATTCTTAGATATGACACTAAAAGCACAAGCAACAACAACAAAAATAGATAAATTGACTTCATCAAAATGAAAGGAGTTTATCAAAGGACTTTATTAAGAAAGAAAAGAGACAATCTACAGAACAGGAGAATATATTTGGGAACCATATATCTGATAAGGCTTTAATATCCAGCATATGTGAAGAACTAGTAGGACCCAACAACAGAAACACAAACAACCCAACTTAAAAAATGGGAAGGGATTTGAATAGACATTCATGTAAAGAAGATATATAAATGAGCGATAAGCATATGAAAAGATGCTCAAGGTCATTAGTCATTGAGGAAATGCAAATCAAAACCGCTAGGAGATACCACCTCATACTGCTAGGATGGCTATTGTCAGAAAAACAGAAGTTGACAAGGGTATGGAGAAACTGGAACCCTTGTGCATTGCTGGTGGGAATAAAAAATTGTGCAGATGCTGTGGAAAACGGTTTGGCAGTTCCTCAAAAAGTTAAACATAGAATTACTATGATGTTGTTAGATGCTGTTGAGTCAGCTCTAACTCATGGCAACCCATGTACAACAAAACAAAACGTTTCCCAATCCTGCGCCATCTTCACCATCATTGGTGTTCTCAGGTCCATTGTTGCATCTACTGTGTATTTTGAGTGTCTTCCAACCTGAGGGGCTCATCTTCCAGCACTATATTGGACAATATTCTGTTGTTATCCATAGGATTTTCATTGGCTAATTTTCAGAAGTAGATTACCAAACCTTTCCTTCTACTCTGTCTTAGTCTGGAAGCTCTGCTGAAACCTGTTCTCCATGGGTGACCCCGCTGGTATTTGAAATACTACTGGCATAGCTTTCAGCATCACAGCAACACAAAAGCCACCACAGTACAACAAACTGACAGACAGTCCCACTCATATATACATAGCCAAGAGACTTAAAAGCAGGGATTTAAACTGATACATGTACACCAGTGTTTAGTGCAGCATTATTCACACTAGCCAAAAGGTGGAAACAATCCAAGTGTCCATCAACAGACGAACGGATAAACACAATGTGATATGCACGTACAATGGGATATTACTCAGCCATAAAGAGAAATGAAGTTGTGATATATGCTATGACATGGATGAGCCTTGAAAACATTATGCTGAGTAAAATTAGACATAAGAAGACAAATAGTATATGATCCCACTTATGTGGAATATCTAGAATAGACAAATGCATAAAAACAAAAGTTTATTAGTAGTTACCAGGGGTTGTGGGGTGGGGTGGGGTGGGGCGGGTAATGGAAGTTATTGCTGAAGGGGTACTGAGTTTCTGTTTGGGGTGATGTAAAACTTTTGGAAATTATTAGTGATGATGATAGCACTACATGGCGAAAGGAATTAATGTCACTGAATTGAAACTTAAAATGGTTTAAATGGAAAACTTTTTGTTATATATTTTACCACAATAAAATTTAAAAAAAAAAAACAAAAAACATTAAAACAATGACCAGGCCATTAGTTGGAAAATTCTGACACAGATACTTGATATTTAATCAGTTATTAAACAAGGAATAAAAGTTTTTTGTTTTCTAATGTGCATTGCCTTTTTATCACATGAGGGCTGTGCCGATTACCCAAAAAAAAAAAAAAATCACTTTTTCACTTACCTTAGACAGTTCATGGTGCTTTAAGAGAAACAATGATTGCTTAATATACTTAAGTCCATCCCGAAAGTGAAATACATTGGGAAAGAAAACGCCCTGTTTCACCAGCCAAAGAGTCAGACAGATAATTGAGTACAGAAGGCTGCAAAGAGGAGTCTAGACAATTAAGATGGAATGCCTGAATCTTGCTCCAGCTGTACTGCTTCAGCACACTGAAGAGTCTCACAGGAACTGCAACCTTAAATTCACACCTGATGGCAAATTAGAGGTGAGGTTTGCTAGGGAGTGTTCTCTTTGGGAAGTCCAGGCCACGGGGAGCCCGACGTCAGTGCTGCAAACTCCCTTGAGTGTCTTCTACCAGACCTTGGGAAGAAGGCAGGGATGTGCTTACCACAAATTCAAGAAGGCAATTAATTCTCCTCTTGCCTGTGGAAGGTGAATAGCATCTTTATTTGTTTAACTCAAATTCTAGTTTGATTCTGGACTAACAAGCACGATAAAGGGGTGGGAGGTCTGTGGCCTGGCTGTTCTTCAGTGTGTGCTCTTGTTTAGCTGGTTCAAAAATTTTATTGTTGTCTTGGTTTTGTCAAGGAAATCTCTCCCACATTCTTTCCTTCATCTATCATTCTGTGAGGAAGGACAGCACATCCAGGATGGAGGACAAACATGGCTGCCAAAGACCTCCTGGACCAATGAATGAATGAGGTGGGCCCGGCATATGTAAGTAACTTGTGTACTGGAAGTTAAGCTTAAGTTGCATTTAAAAAAATCAGCTTCTGTCTTCAGTGTCCTAAGTGATTGGCTGTATAAAGGAACTGCATGTAAATCCTTTTGTAAAACAAATAATCAGTGTGGCTGCTAATTTGGCTTCTAAATCTAGATTTTCAGCACAGAACTGTATTAGGTTTGTTTGAATCCATAGTATGAACCCCAGACTCCAACAGAGTAGCCTGAGATGGGTTGATTTGGAGGAAGCAGAAAGTCGCCCTTGCAGGAGCAGCGGCAGCATTTTGACTGATAACCCCTCCCTGGGGCAGATATCATGGCTCCTGGGTCTGGGAGGCTTTGGCTCACTCAGATTCACCAAGCGGTAAGTACAGAGCATTGTTTTTGTAGGCTGGGAGTGGCAACAGAAAGGTTGTTGAAGATTGCTAAATAATTCTACTTGATCCACTCAAAGGAACACCAATTTCATGATGAAAATAAATAGAGGTGACATTCTGGAAAAGGCAAAACTCTAGAGACAATGAGAAGATCAGTGTTAGCCAGAGGTTCGGGGGGATAGGGGCGGGATGAATAAGCGGACACAGGGCATTTTAAAGACAATGAAACTATTCTACATGACGCTATAATGGTAGACATATGACATTATAAAAAAACAACAAAACAAACAAACCCATTGCTGTCAAGTCGATTCCAACTCATTGTGACCCTATAGGACGGAGGAGAACTGCCTCATAGGGTTTCCAAGGGGCGCCTGGTGAATTCGAACTGCCAACCTCTTGGTTAGCAGCCATAGCTCTTAACCACCACGCCATCAGGGTTTACTTTTGTCAAAACCCACGGGACTGTCCAACACAAATTGTGAAACCTGATGTAAACTATGGACTTTAGTAAATAGTAATGTATTAATATTGGTTCATCAGTTATAACACATGCACCACAGGAATGCAAGATGTAGATAATAGGAGAAACCGCGTGCAGGGGGAGAGGGAGTATACGGGAACTCTCTGTCCTTCCTGGACAAGCTTGCTGTAAACCTAAGTCAGCTCTAAAAAATAAAGTCCGTTAATAATAATAATAATAATATTACTGGTTCCAGCAGTTTAGTTCCTGCCTGTCTGGGAAGGAGATGAGTGCCATGTGCGGGCTGCTGTCCTCACCAAGGCTGCCTCATTCACCAGAATGGCTGCCAGGCACTTGGGAGGTTTGTTCAATGGACGTCTGTGCAAGAGAGAAGTTTGAGGGCTTTACAAGAGATATGCAACTACGCTGCTGCAGAAGCGGTGTTGTAGCCCAGTGGGGTAGGTGAGACCAGCGCTGGGGGCTGGGCTGCCTCAGTGCAAATGCTGATTCTTCTGCTTCCTAGCTTTGTCACAATACCACCAAGTCACTTCAACTCTTTTGCTTTCCTTATCTGTAAAAGAGAAAAAAATAACAATAGCTAACTCACAGGATTACTTTAACAACAGAATGATGTAATACATGGAAGGTACTTAGCATAGCACCCGATGTCGGTAAGCCATTAATTATTCTTTGATAGGCTAGCACTCTGTGTGTGCAAGCACACACACATCTGTTTTTCCTCTTCTGACTGCTCCCCTGCCCCAGTCTCAAACTTACAGCCTTTCCTAACCGCTGCCTCCTCCAGAGAAACCTTGGTGGCTAATCCCTGCTTTTGCTCTCTTTAGAAGCAGCAATCCAAAAGTCTTTACTTTCTCTTATCATTCCAAGCGTTTAAGTTCTGAACTACAGGACACTGTGCAGTTTGGATAGAGTACAGCGTTTACCTCATTTGTGTCCAGTGATATATCAGAGCACTCTGGATGGAAGAAGGAGGAAGAAAATGCTGGGACAGGCTCGGGCGGGAGGCAGGCGTTGCAGCTAGCGGAGGCTAACAAATGTCTTGGGCTCTGTCCTCTTGGCTAGGTCCAGGGCCTGACTGCTGAGTGAGAGGGGTAGAGGGTCTGGAGAAATCCAGGATGGGCAACATGGAGCATTCTGCACAGGGTTTCATTTTGTCCTTTCATCCCAGGGTAAAAGTGCTGATCAGGATAATGAGCATGTTCTAAAATGTTAAAACCAGCAGGCAAAATTATGTGAACCTCAACTCACAAACTCTTCAGCCTGCACAAATTGCCTTCTATACTATGGATTTGAATGTCCAGGATTTTTTTTTTTTTTTTTTTTGGAGGGGGAGGGCTGCAGGGAATTAGGATAACAGCAGATTCTTAGGAATTTTTAACATTGTGATCAGAATGGCTGCTGTAGTCAGTAGTCCTGCTTGTTTTAACCTCCCTCCCCCTTCCTGCTGGCACAGCTCTGTAGCTGAGGAAGTGAAGGCTCTTTTCACCTAGCTTGGGGGAACATTCACAAAGTTGGGATGCCATGTTGGAAGCAGCCAGCTCCAGAGCAGCTAGGACTGAGTGCTTCTCCCCACCCTCACTAGGGAAGCTGAGGCAGGAGCTAGGACCAACATTCTCTAAGGCCCTGCAGAGTCTGCCTGACCTAGAGGGCCACACAGTTCTGTGTAGTCCAAGATGTGTGGTGGAGCACCAGTGAATGTCTCTGTCCACCCTAGACCAATCCATTGCGAATAGGTGGGAATTGCAGCAGGAAGGATTTAGGCTAGACATTTGAAAACACAGAAAGCCAGTCAATTACTAAATCAGTAAATGTTACCTGGGCTCAGTGGTGAGTTATGATGAGGTTGGAAAAGAAGCATTTGGGCTAACTGTGCTGACAGACCCAAGACATTAGACATGGAAAAGAAGATGAGGCTCTAGGATGTGGGAAGGCCATGGAAAGGAGACCAGCTGAGAAACAGAGGCCCAGAAAGGTTAAGAAATTTGCCTGAGGTCACAAAGTTTCTCAGCAGCAAAGCTTGTCTTGAGGGAGGCGTATTAGCTACATAAGTAGAGGCAAAGCAGAGCACAGTGCTCTGCACAGGGGAAGCCCAGGAGGGCTGCGCCGAGCTGTGTGTGGAAGAGGCGCAGGAGCCAGGCTGACAATGGAGACCGCTTGGAAAGCAGGAGATGGATCAAAAGGGGACTTAGAGGCGAGGTACAATAGAAAAGGGACAATACATCAGAATGTATCTTTTGATGTGGGGTTTATGAATAATTTTTATCCTTTTATCTATGCTTTTCAGTATTTTCCAAGTTTTTTATAATATGCGTAGATTCCTGTTTTTAACCAGGCAAAGAAAAAAAAAGGAAAGAAACAGGCATAGAGTTTTGTATTTTTTCGTAAACAATAGGGAGCCATTGGGAGTTTCCTAAGGGAGCAATGCTTTGGTAGAAGTGGTGTTTTAGGAAGCTAAGACAGGCGTGTTGGGGAAGATGGACACTGGGTCTGGGGGTAGAGGTGGGAGCTAATGTCGAGGAGACTGGCTGGGGACTGTGGTGGTGACAGGGGAGGCAATGGGATCTGGTCTGTTCAAGTGTTAGAGCTGGGGAATGGAAACGTCTAGGAAAGATTTATCTGTCAGTGGAGGCTTGAGTGTTGCTATGATGCTGCACAGGTTTCAGCGGAGCTTCCACACTAAGACAGACTAGAAAGGAAGGTTGGAACAGGCTGCACAGGCCTGGCTCACTATTATTTACTACCCATTGCTAACTGCCACATTGTCTCATGATCTTGTTTTTCCAGACTCTACAAAAGGTTTAAGATTAACTGATGTTCCTCCCTGGAGGGTGGAAAACAGCGATAATGATCTAAGGATGAAAAACCAAACAAAGCACCCATCTTGTGACAAGAAAAGAGAAGAAGCAGGATGTCCCCGGATAACCTCTAACAATACCAGTAGAAGATTAACTCATCTAAGACATCACCACCTCAAGGGGAAACTAACACAAACTTCTAAGATCCATAATCCTGTCCCTATAAAAGCCTTCAGCCGATCTCCAGTGGGGGAGACGGGTTTTTTGGAGGAATCTATTCCCCTCCTTTCCTATATATCGATATATAATAAACATCTTGCTGCTCACCTCACCCCTGTCTCAGAATTGGCTATTGCGGCAGGCGGCTCCAATCCGCGTTATCACGGTAACAAATTTGGTGGCCCGTACGCAGCGGCCCCAGGGCAGGGCCTGGGACTGATCGACAGTTCTCCTGACAAGCGGCCACGAGAGGTTTCATTTGCCTCTGGGGAGACTATCGGCCAGACCTGGGTCTGTCACAGCACCGCTGGTCCCCCACTGCGCCAAAAGAGGTGGGTGAAAGAAAAGCAAGACCTGTATCGGAGGGATCCCAAGGTAAATCCACGAGTCCTCTCCCTGTTGCGCTCAGGGCCGGGGCTGATAGGACAGGCCCGAGGTTTCTGGAGCCGGACCTGAGCCCTTGGTTTCTGGGGTGACAGGTGCCCCCAGATGACCGTCCCTGTGAGTAGGCTTGCCAATAGGGACTCCTGGTGACTCTAGAGTTCTGGTTCTGGGTGTTTGAATGCTCGTGTGTCTGGGAGATTGAGATTCTCTAAGATAATCTCTGCTGGCAAGCAAGGCCATCTGAGAGGTTGAAGGAGGTCAAGAAAATCTCTGTCAGCTTGAGGGATTTATTCGTTTACTGTGGTTTTGTATCTGTCCTGTCCATTGTCTGTGTGTAACTAGTATTATACCATCTACTTGGGCGCCCTGATTCGGCTGTTAAGAGAAAGCTTCAGAAAGAAGGAAACCAAAAGCTTGAACCTTATCGCTTAACATCTTTGATAAATGAGCCTGGATTTCCCCCCCTACTACTGATTCACTGGTTTGGGGTTCATATTTAAAAACACTATAAACTGAGTATACTAGAAGTAACTTAGAATTTCAGTGGCCACTTTGGGATAATGAGCTTTCATTTGTGTTGTCCGGTTTTTCCCTTAGGGAACTTTGCTTGATGCTCAGGTTTTGTCAAGAGGTGTAATATTCCTCCATCCGAGACTCCAGCAAGTTAAGAAGTTTTATCTAGAACCTGTTTATGTGGTCTTTCTGTCTCCTTTTGTTCTAAGAGCTTGCTTCTGGTCTAGAGCATTGTGTCTAAGTTTGTCTTGTATTAAATTGGTGACTATGGCTAAGAATTGCTGTATTTTGTAAGGCTAGTCATAGAACCTCAGTTCTGTCTTCGTCCAGAAAAAACTACATCTTGTGTCTGTCTTATGATTTAGATTTTTAAAAAAAGCTACTTGGAGAAACTTTGATATAATTTGGTATATTTGAGAAGTACACTAAGACCTTTATGTTTTATACTATGTCAATCTTAAAAGCGAAACCTTTCTAAGTAACTTAAGCTAGGTATGAAATGTGTTTTATTTAAGGAAAAAGGATAGTTTTGTCTTAAAGTAAAAGTAGCAGTTCCAGAACAGTAAAAAAGAAATTAGTCATCTCTTGTCCTTAAATTCCTA